GTAGTCAGGCTGGAGAGGTAGAGTGGTCAGGCAGGCCGGGTCAGGAACAATCGGGCAGACAAGGTACAAACGGAGCAGGCAGGAGAAAGGCTTGAGGTGCCTACTATTCTACCCCCCCCCCCTAAAATTATTGAAAAATTACACCTGGTATGCTCTGACCACAGAGTATGACTGCAATGAGGCTTCGGGACATTGACCTTCACTTCACATGTTCAGTGGTGGACCCCTTCCCTCTTGTAGTTGTGCACCGGTAGTTTGTTTCATCTTCCTGGTATGTACATGGTATAAATGGTCTCCCACATGTCATCAACTCTAACACAGTATATTCTTGAGTAGGTGTTTAGCCTCCCAGACATTAGTTGCTGTATTGTGATGTGGTGGGATTATGGACATTAAATTGTTTTGTTCTCCAATTCTTTGCTTGTATGAATACAGCCTGTTGATGTTTTTGACCAAGATCATGATGTCATGTCACACTATTAGGTTCTGTTGTATACCTTTTAAGTGTTAATAAAACTACAACAGTAAAACCACTCTGTATATGCAGTAAGCATGCTTGTTATACTCACTGTGGAACCTAAAGGGTTTGTTCGTCTGCATTGTGTAAAAAAGGATGTTTGATCCTGTCTTCTCTGATCCTCTCCTTCTTCTACTATCCCCAATCCATCTGCTGATACTACAGAGCTCTGGGAGTCACTCTGCACATGCCCATTTTACTGTGTATTGCTGGAGAGTTTTTTTTTTTCTCTTTGGGATGGTGCATGTGATCGGCACAGGGCCAATCAGAAATGTCCAGACAGAGGGTCAGGGGCTATGCAACCTCATAGGACAGTCAGAGCAGAATGAAAACTCCTCCTACAAGATTATCCAGTGCTCATCTGGACACTGATAGAAGTCACAAGACTGCTATATACTGTTGATGAGAAAAGATATTTAGCAGTTTGTATTTACTAAAATAATTGCATTTCCATGTTCTGTGTACTGTGGGAGATCAGATATAATGAATGCAGGGTCCTGGGTTTAGTAACACTTTAAATAAATAATTAAAAAAGATATATTATTGACCTCAAAATGGGAAGTAGGCATTCATTTTATGATTAGATGTATTTATAATGCCGCGCTCCTACTATAAATACTTAATACTGTATTGTATATCACTCAGAAACATCAATAAGCTAAATAAACTAATAATAAATATAATAAAAATCAATAAATTAATTTGTGTGATAAAGTGAATGAAAATCAAAACATTAATGTGCTAAAATGTGCCATTAGTGCTCAAACAATATTATCAATGCCATATTCCAATTTCATGATTAAATGAAGAGTCTTTTATATCTTTGTGCAAATGTGCATACAAAAATGAACAGTCTTAAATATCTTTGTGCAAATGTGCAATGTGCAGGTGAACTCCTTAATCCCTCTTTCCAGGTGCCGTGTAGTCTCAATATGCGCTCACCTTAATATTTACCCAAATAAATTTTTAGTCCTTCCAGGACTGGTGGGATAGTGTTCCTTTATGCAGTATTCCAGATGGATGTGCAGACCTGTTCAGATCCTCCTATAATCTCCTCTCAAATCATCCACGTGGCCACTCATAGATAGATTTTTGAAAGGGGTATCAGTATCTCCTATTTCCCCTCCTGGGGACACCTCCTTCTCATATCCACCTTTCCTCAGTGTTGAATCAGTGGCAGCCGCTCCGCTCACAGCTTCTCCGCTTCTTCTCCCTATATAAAAGACTCTTCATTTAATCATGAAATTGGAATATGGCATTGATAATATTGTTTAAGCACTAATGGCACATTTTAGCACATTAATGTTTTGATTTTCATTCACTTTATCACACAAATTAATTTATTGATTTTTATTATATTTATTATTAGTTTATTTAGCTTATTGATGTTTATGAGTGATATACAATACAGTATTAAGTATTTATAGTAGGAGCGCGGCATTATAAATACATCTAATCAATTTACATATACACAATTAAGTGAGTTTGTGAAAGTGCCAGCGCACCTAGCACAACAGGTAGTTCACTACCACTAATAGCACATAATATACTGAACATCTGAGATATAGTGGCTCACAAGTATTCACTTTTAAATTGTAGATTTTACATTCATTTTATACCACTTACTGAGCTGTGTGACGTATTAAGTTATAGGTAAATCTGAAAAGTGAATAGCCTTTACAGCCTGACCTATCACACAAAGCAGTTCAATATCTTGATTAGCTAATGGTTTTGTAGTGTTAACCTTTGACTTCAAGATTAGGAAATGTGTGAACATGATATATTTGTACTTATTCTTCTATTTCAAGCAGCTAGCTTTGCATGAGCATGCATTTAACTTTATTGCTCAGAGTTTATTAGTGTTATATCTTTTGTTTATACATTGCTACATACACTTCTAGGAAGTTGGGTGTGGTAGTCTTTGGGTGTGAAGTTGAAATGCACATATAAACTGTTACAACTGTGTTAGGTTTTCTAAGAAATGTGAAAAGCCAATGAGTGGTTAAAACAATTCCTCTCCACCTAACTTTCTCAGCTAAATTTAGTCTACTGTCTACATCCCTGGAAGCCAACCTACCCCTTGGCATTTGCCCTTGGCATTTGGAGCCTGTGTAGGGAGTAGTTTGTATTTGTCTTACCTGGGTGTCCGTAAAAGGAAAATATTCCATATACTTGGTTCTAGAAGTTAAATGGCTCGTTTTATTTCTTATTATTCACACTATCTTTTTCTGTGCTATTCCTTTTTTTTCTATGATATCTATTATAATGGATCTTGTTGAAAGAAATATCAAAAGTGGCACATGACATTTTAAGGGGGCTGTTCAGAGCAGCAGCAGTAAAGTAAAGGTAAACAACCTTTACTTTACTCCTTGAAAACATTTCCCTATTCCGGCTTATGAGGCAGTGATTGATAGTGGTATGTTGTATCTATTATTAAAACATGTTTGATCACTAGAAACACTGACATTGACTTTTCACAGTGCACCCACCATTGACCATTCACCGCCTATAGACAGGGCAGTTATCATACAATACAACAAAAAATATTGCAGAATATTGTTTGATAACCTCTATTTATGTATGGTGGGTGTAAAGAATAGTTCCAGGCATCGGTATGGTATACAAAGTCAAAGTGATCCAGCTATGACTGTTTTGTTCTTAAATCTGTGCTCTTCTGACAGCCCCTCTGGCATCTGCAAGTCAGATAAGGCATGGTTACATCTGTCTATGTTGCAAAAGATGTCCACAGCAGTGAAGGATCCAGGGTACCATATTAATATACTGTAATTTTCTGTTATCAGATAGGGGGTAGCTATGTAATGTTTTGGGTTTACTAATTAAATAAAAAATAAAAAGCAGAAATATTTTTATTGTAATTGTGTAAGAATATTTAATGCAAAAGGCAAGAGAAAGGCCCAGTATTTTTTAAGTACTGGGCAATGCATACATAGAGCATACATAGTACATTTCTCTTTCCAATGTAACATAAGTAAACCTACAAAATACCAGTACAAAGGTACTTTAGAAATTAATGTTTACAGCTTGTCACAAACAAGGATGCATAAAAAAACGTAATGAAATGGGTCTCTTTTTGTACCAGAAAACAGTATGCATTGGGCATTAGGCATACAAAGGACAAGTGTACATGTTGTCCAGAGCAATCAATCAGAATTAAGCTCTAGGTGTGATAGCTGGAATTGACTGGTTGCTAAACACTTTTTGTTTCTACAAGTTCTAATGCATGATGAATCCTGTGTCACCAGCTGGCTCTTAGTAGTTATGCCTCTTGTGTTGCTCTAGCCAGGGTCCTTTTACCCAGGTGAGGTAAAAGGGGGTAGCCTATACTCCTTTCCCACATGGGATCATGGTGGTAGAGGTTTCTATCCCCTCTTTGATTGATTTCAGTGGGAGGCTATACGACAGGTCAGCTAAGGTCAGGAGATTAAGACATTTCTAGAATATCTGGGGGTAATTAGGGATGGGTTAATTTAAGCTTACCTGGCCCCCCAGAATATTCCAAATTCTGGGTACCCCCTATACAAGAAGGCTGCCAAATGGGGGTCTTTGCCAGTCTTTAAAGAGGGACCACCGGAGGAACTCCACACCCATATTTCCCTCGTCGCAGCCTGTTTATGTGGTGGTTACCTTTTGCTTGAATTACAAAAGGGGACAAGTAAGTTGTTTAATTTAATGTGATGACAGCTTGAGTGTGGCTGAGCTGATATGTTTAAATTTGATTAATTTCATTACAGTTATTGTGAAAAGGATATGGTATTTCGTATGTAATGAAAACCAATAAACAGAGATGCAGCCTATTTTATTCCAAGTTGATGTGTATTATTTGCATGTTTGTGAGATTCATGCCGCCTATGATTCCATTATACCACAGAAGGGAATCTCATTTTGCTCCCATTCTACCATTTCATTTGCCATTTTATTTGTAAGACATCCCAGTTTCAGATATTAACAGGCACTGGTATTCTCAGAATGAGGAGTATTCTAACTCATGACAAGAAAATGGAAAACCTCATGTAACATTTTCTAAGCATGCCTTCATCTTCTTTCTGAAGATTCCTTGTTGATTCACATATTCGTTACCAAATCTGAGCGCCAAAGTATCAGTACCGTACCTCGTACATTTAGTGTTCGATATAGATGTACTGACAGAAAATTGAAGAAACACACTGGACCTCTTGGTGAGAAGAATCCTACAATATCTCTTCTTCTAAAATGTAACTGGAGCCAACTTAATAATGGTTATTCATCTAGAAGTGCTTTTTAATGACATGTGCAAAGTGCTGGATTTTCAAGTCCATAAACATCCTCATTCTCAGCTGACAGCCCACAATTGATCTATATTTTTTTTAGAAATAATCCACTCTTTAGTATTATTTCCAAAATATAAGTGTAAGTGACTTACACTGGTCTTTCAGAAAGCAGGTTGATAATGAAATGTTCTCAGTGGCAAAAAAACAAGGGATACTCAAGCCCAGATAGCTATAACTGCCATTACTGTAAACCCAATAATAATAAAGAATACTTTTAAAATAGGTCTCTCTCCTGAATTGAGTTCTTGTGGGAGAATTTCCAGGAAAGTGACATATACAAATGTGCCAGAGGCAATACCCGCTAATATAGTCTGCACCAGAGTCACTATGCCGCTCTTTTTTAGTGTAACAATAATGCCAATAGTAATCCCAATAGGAGACATAAGAGAGAAAATTACTATGTAAGTGATTAACCAAGCTGGTGTAGTCATGCTCTGGATTAACTTTAGAGAAAGACTGAAGACAATGATACCCTTGTGAATAAGTACAGCTATTGCAATCTGAAGAGCACTGGAATAGTTGGACTGAAGACCAATTGCTAAACCCTCAAAGACAGAATGGATGGACAGGGAGCAAAAGAGAATAAGGGAGCGAAAGGAGGAACTGGAATATAATGGGTTATGGACATGGTTATGCGGAATTTCAGGTGGCATCGATATCTCACTTGGAGGGTCAATTTTTTCTTGGTAGTTATCATCAGGATTTGGTGAAATAGAAGACATTTGGGTGCCACCCTGAGTACTGCATTGAGAACGCTGAGATATTTGCAGTACAATGCGTTCTATGAGAAGGACAAAAAAGAAGCCCAATGACAGGATCAGCTCCCCCATAGGGTATTTAATCTGTAAAAAAAAAAAAAGAAATAATACATTTTAGTTTGATTATTTACAGTATTTATGTATGCAACATATAAGAAAAATGTTAATCAAACAATATATTGCTAGAAAGACAAATATGCTGAATTAAGAGGAGGATGATACAAACTGAAAATATGCTCCTCCACTCACAGAATTCTTTGCACTCTGTTCAAAGAATGCAAAACCTTTTTGGAGTGGAGAAGGGGATCTGGCCATTCATCTACCTCTCCTCGATTCACATTGAAAGGAATGTAAAGCATTCTGTGACTGAAGGAGTGGGGCCAAAGAGCAGGGCATAGTCAGACAGGCTGGATGGGACACACGGACACATACACACAGACAGACAGACACATGGACACATACACACAGACAGACAGACACACTCACAGACACGGACACACACACACACACACACACTGACTATGTTTAGTTTTATAAAAATCCTTTGAAAAATCAGAACAAGGGACATTGTTTTCATTTAATGTAAAGTGTCCCTTGTGCTGGTGCCAGCTGTTTTAGTGGGAGTCTTCAGTCCTATCCCTCCTTCCCATACCCCACAGCCATAATTAATACCATCACTGGACATGTGACTGGCGCTCATCAAGAATGCCAAGTATGCCCTCCCTCTCTGCCACCCTCCTCCATTTATAGAAGCTGTACTATAGCTTCCATAAATGAAAAGCAATCTATGAATAGGGGACAAGTAGATGAATGAAAGGTCTACCTCCTCCATTTATCTGAGTGCTTTTCATTTATTGAAGCTTTTTGTGATATTGTCTTGTAATTTAATTTAGTATTTTAGATGTATATTTAGGTGAGTCCATCTCTTTTTCACAGAGTGGCAGTCATATTGTTCAGCTCATAAGATTTCTTTATGATCACCTTTTGTTAGCATGCTGTATATACACTGCTCAAAGAAATGAAAGGAACACTTGAAAACACATCAGATCTCAATGGGGAAAAATATAATGCTGGATATCTATACTAATATGAGCTGGGTAATGTGTTAAGAACATTAGGATGCCCCATCATTTGATGGAAATGAAAATTATCAACCTACAGAGGACTGAATTCAAAGACACCCCAAAAATCAAAGTGAAAAAATGATGCAGCAGGCTAGTCCATTTTGCTGAAATTTCATTGCAGCAACTCAAATGGTACTCAGTAATTTTTATGGCCCCCGCATGCTTGTATGCATGCCTGACAATGTCGGGGCATGCTCCTAATGAGACGAAGGATGGTGTCTTGGGGTATTTCTTCCCAGATCTGGACCAGGGCATCAATGAGCTCCTGGACAGTCTGAGGTGCAACCTGGTGGTGTCGGATGGACCAAAACATGATATCCCAGAGGTGTTCTATTGGATTTAGGTCAGGAAAGCGCGGGGGCCATTCAATGGTAGTAATTCCTTCATCCTCCAGGAACTGCCTGCATACTCTCGCCAAATGAGGCTGGGCATTGTCATGCACCAGGAGAAACCCAGGAGCCACTGCACCAGCGTAGGGTCTGACAATGGGTCCAAGGATTTCATCCTGAACCTAATGGCAGTCAGGGTGCCATTGTCTAGCCTGTAGAGGTCTGTGCGTCCCTCCATGGATATGCCTCCCCAGACCATCACTGACCCACCACCAAAGTGGTCATGCTGAATGATGTTACAGGAAGCATAACATTCTCCACGGCTTCTCCAGACCCTTTCACGTCTGTCACATGTACTCAGGGTGAACCTGCTCTCATCTGTGAAAAGCACAGGGCGTCAGTGGCGGACCTGACAATTCTGGTGTTCAATGGCAAATGCCAATCGAGCTCTATGGTGCCGGATCGTGAGCACAGGGCCCACTAGAGGACATTGGGCCCTCAGCCCACCCTCATGAAGTCTGTTTCTAATTGTTTGGTCAAAGATATTCACACCAGTGGCCTGCTGGAGATCATTTTGTAGGGCTCTGGCAGAGCTCATCCTGTTCCTCCTTGCACAAAGGAGCAGATACCAGTCCTGCTGATGGGTTAAGGACCTTCAAGGCCCTGTCCAGCTCTCCTGGAGTAACTGCCTGTCTCCTGGAATCTCCTCCATGCTCTTGAGACTGTGTTGCGAGACACAGCAAACCTTCTGGCAATGGCATGTATTGATGTGCCGTCCTGGAGGAGTAGGACTGCCTCTGCAACTTCTGTAGGGTCCAGGTATCTCCTCATGCTACCAGTAGTGATACTGACCCTAGCCAAATACAAAACTAGTGAAAAAGAGTCAGAAAAGGTGAGTACAGAAAAAAATGTCAGTGGCCTCCACCTGTAAAACCATTCCTGTTTTGGGAGTCATCTCATTGTTGCCCATCTAGTGCACCTGTTGTTAATTTCATTAACACCAAAGCAGCAGAAACTAATTAACAACCCCCTCTGCTACTTAACTGACCAGATCAATATCCCAGGAGTTTAATTGACTTGATGCTATACTCTGATTAAAAAGTGTTCCTTTAATTTTTTTGAGCAGTGTATGTTAAAAGGTGTGTTACAAAAAACTATGATATTTGAAATAACGCTCACCTACACCTTCTCCCCCTTTGTGTGGGGCACTTTTTTAGTCCACAGAAAGCCATCCCTAATGCTGGCCATACACGTATAGATTTTCGTTCAATTATTAAATCCAGTGGTCTCCAAACTATGGCTCGGAGGCCAGATGTGGCCCTTTGCTTGCCTTTATCCGGCCCTCTATTCACTTTTCCTCCCATTGATACAAGACACTATTCCTTCCTCCAACCAAAAATGGGGCCTAATTACTGCTACTGATGTCAACAATGAAGCACTATTTCTCCCATTGACACCAAAGATGGGGCACTATTCCTCCCACTGACACTAATGATAGGGCACTATTCCTCCCACTGATACCATTGATGGGGCACTATTCCTCCCACTGACACCATTGATGGGGCACTATTTTCCCCCACTGACACCAACAATAGGACCCTATTCCTACCACCGACACCAAAGATGGGGCACTATTCCTGCCACCAACAATGGGGCACTATTACACCCCCAATTACACCAACAGTGGGGCACTATTCTGTAAACTGACACCAACGATGGGGCACTATTCCTCCCACTGACACCATTGATGGGGCACTATTCCTGCCACCGACACTAACGATGGGGCACTATTTCCCCCCAATGACACCAGCAATAGGACATTACTCCTCAAACGAACACCAATGATGGGGAACTATTCCTCCCCCTGACACAACTGGGCACTATTCCTCCCGCTTACACCAACAATTGAGCACTATTCCTCCTACTTACACCAATAAAGGGGCACTATTCCTCCCACTAATACCAAAGATGTGTCGTTTATTCCCACTGATGCCGGACAATTTCTGCTCCCAATGGCCACAGTCCGGCCCCCTGAAAGTCTGATGGACAGTAAACTGGCCCTATGTTTAGAAAGTTTGGAAACCCCAGATCTAATCAATAGTGGGGTCAAATCAACATTCGTTTTAAACCACCGTGATGGGAACATTCAAAAAAATCGGAATAGAAAACGTTTCTCGATCGATAGCATTTTTGGACAATATGTGATTTTTGTTCAGAAATTACATTTTAAATTTGAATGTTAAAAGCAAGTGAGATTACATTTGTCAATTCATTGAATGTATAAAGAATTGTTGTCCAAATATTCTCGTTTGAAAAGCGATACATGTATGGCCAGCATCCCTCCCATTGAGCTATTGTGTTCCAACAGTGAGAAGATGCGGAATGGAGCTGTCCCTGCTGGGAGAACACAGTGGTTATTGCCAGCACATAGATGGCTGGAAGCTCTGCCAGTGTCTGCTGAACCAGCTGAGATTTGAACCATCTATGGCTGGCTTTAAAGAAGCCAGCTGGTTTTGTTTTCTTCACAGGCCAAAACCTCCCAGTCTTTCCATTTATTGGAATTGTTTATAGTATTTGAATATAAATAGCGCTAATCACCACTGACCTGTTTTTATTTGAATCAAGTAGATTTACAAAATGTTGCTATGCACAGCTCACTTCTCTTATTTCTTTCTTAGTTATCTCATCTACACAGTAAATACAGGTAAATAGAAATACTGAATGACACATTGTGAAAAGGCATTCCTCTTTACAAATTAATAGGTATAATAAAGACCTTGGACTGTCTTAAATGCAAGTATTGTTTTAATTTCTGCTAATATGTTGTAAAGAACATTAAGACTTACATATGCAAGTTCCTGGGCAGCATCTGAGAGGAAGTCTGCCACTACGTGAAGTAAACACGCGCCCAGGAAGATGCCAGCGGCAAATGAGCTGATCAAGCAAAGTATAAGCTCATAGGTGCCTGAAAAGAAAGCAGTCCTTTGAAAATAAGCAAGTAATCATATAAAGTGGTCTCATAATCACAGTGATAACATGACATTTTATTATTAATATATTTGAATATTTTGTATCGGCAGTATGCTAAAGTCGTATTTAAGGCACTCATAGACAGTACATGGTGGTATATGGTTTACAGCTGAATTTGGTGCACAAAAACTGTCATTTAAATATACTCCTCAGTAGTCACAAACATATCAAATCGACTTTATATGTGCCAAATCCCCCTATACACTCAGATATTATGTTTTAAAAGTAGTGGTGACATCATCACTGTGCTCCCATAGCCTGTGCAGCAAGCAAAGCTATCGAAGGGACAAAGCAGGTCCGCCCACTACAGAGTTCCTGCAGTGAATTATAGGAGGGGAACAAATACAAGATCAGTCTCCCTGCACAAGGAGAGAGCAGCAGTGACTGGTCTTTATTAATGTATTAGTTGGGT